AGCACGGCCTCCTGGGAGAGGTCGGCCATGGTGTGACCCAGCGAGTTGGTGAGGTGCATGGCGTGGTGCACGGCCGTGTCGTGGAACTCCACGTCGACGGCGTTGTCCTGGTCGTCGTTGTAGCCGCGAACGATTCCGACAGAGTTCCACATCTGGAGGCAAAGCGTTTGTCCATTTTTAATTCTTTCATTAAAGTCGTGTTTCACGTGAACAGGAAGCACCGATCTCCTCCCTTCCTGTCAGGTTAGTTCAGGGCCCCCAGGAGATTTGCACTCTGGCCCTCAGAACATTTGACCTGCTTTATAGTCACAGTAATCTGGATAAAAAGGTCATTGAGCTCATCTTTGCTTTGAGTTGAAGATGAAGATGATTAAGAGGAGAGGATGGACCGACCATGAAGCGGTGCGTGAGGTGAGCCGGCGTGGAGCCCGGCTGAAAGGCCTTCTGCGGGGGCGTCGGCAGGGGCCCCTCGTAGACGGGGCGAAGGGGCCCCGGCGGGGGGGCGGCCGGCGTGACGGCGCTGCTGCCGCCGTCGTCGTCGTCGTCCCCAAATTTGTCCCGACCAAACTTCAGCGAGCCGGCGTCTGAAGAACAAAAACCACAACGGTTTACTTCACGTGTTGAATCCTCTCCGCTCGCGTCCAGTCGAAGCTGCTCGGGTTTGTTGTCACATAAAGATTCTAAAACCAAAATAATGATCCTCGCTCACCCAGCGAGAGCTCGTCGTCCAGGACCGCCCCTCGGTTCCTCGGCCGCCCCGTCGCCGGCATCAGGCAATCGTCATCGTCTTCGTCGTCCCCGGCGACGGGTTTCTTGACCGGCGAGTTGTTGCCGTCGCTCAGGCCTTCGTCCATGAGCCGGCCGTCGTCGTCGTCGTCAAACAGGTCGTCGTAGTCTTCGGCTGCTTTCCTCGCCGGCTGAAAGTTCAGAGTCAACGAAGGAAACGGAAAATATCGAAACCGCGCGGTTTTGGCAGAAGAAGCTGATGCTGTGCAGACGGTTTAAAAAAAAAAAGGAAATGATCAGAACATTCTCTGATTTCTCTTCCATCAATTGATTGAATCATCTAACCTTGGTGGAGGTGGAGGAGGAGGAGGTGGAGGAGGAGGAGCCGAGTCCGTCCAGCAGACCCAGGCAGCCCTCAGTGTCTGTGTAGGCCAGCTGGCTGCCTGAAGGACTCCAGGCCAGGCCGCACACCGTGAAGCCCTTCTCGTGCTTCTGCCTGCGGACGAGACCAGGCGCCGTCAGCCGGCGCCGAGGTCGCTTCGGAAGAAACCATCCGCCCCCGTCCTTACCTTTCCACGCAGAGCTCGCTGGTCACGTCCCACACCGTCAGCGAGCCGCCCACGCCGCCCGCCGCCAGGAAGCGACCGCACGGAGACCAGGCCACCACGTTGATGAGCTGCGGGGGGAAGGGGGAGGAGCTAAGTCACCGCTTCCGGGCCGAGGACCAATGGGAGTCAGGGCCCGCCCCGGAGGAGGCCTACCTGCGTCTGCAGGTCATCAGACAGCGTGCTGGCGAGATCCCAGGAGCCCCGCGCGTACAGGTGCACCTTCGTCTCCACGGGAACCGCTAAAGCCTGAGCAGACGTTTGGACATTACATCACGCGGGCTGATTAAGGACGCGCTGCGAGGACGGGGGGGGGGGCGCGGGTTGTGACGCTGACCTTTGCCCCCGCGGGCTGCCAGGCGAGCCGGCACAGAGACTTGGCGTTGCTGACGTCGTTGGTCTTCTGCAGCAGCGGCCAGCGGATCAGCTGGGACTGAGCGGGGGGGGGAAAACACAAAGCAGAGCATGCTGGGGAACGCCGAGCGAATCAAAGGGCCGAAGCACGAGAAGAGCCACGCACCTGCTCCTCGATGTTCCACACCGCGACGGAGCCGTCGCAGCTGGCGGACGCCTGGGAGGAGAGAGCAGAGGACTTTCGTCTCATTTCAATACGGTTTTCTGTTCTCATTGTGCAGACGCAACACGCCAACACCCCATTTAGCTTGAAGAAACATCAAACCCTGGTGACAGCCGCAGACTTCACATGAAATGCCTGTTTTGGTTGACAGTTTGGTTAAATTTTCGTTCTAAATAATAAGCGAGACGCGTCGACGTTGAGCAGAACTTCGTACGAGCACACTTCAACCCCCCGGACCGTCCCTTTAAATTCAGCCGGGGTTCTACTCTCAAGAGCCGAGTCGCGAGGGTCGCCAGCGCGGAAACGTCTAACATACAGAGGTTTTCACGCACCAGGAAGTCGTCTTTGGGGTCAAGGGTCACGCTGAGGACGGGCGCTTCGTGGCCTCGCAGCGTTTTCTGCTGGCTGCTGTCCGACACCTCCACCACCTTCACCATGAAGTCACTGCAGGCAAACAGAGAAATAGATCTGAATATGTGGACGAGACCTCCGTCCTGACGGGGGGGAGGAGAGGAGGGGAGGGGGGGGGGGGATCAGCCGCTGTGCAAATCGGCAAATCAATGACCGAGGGAGGCAAAACGATGCCGCTCTGCGGCACAATGAAGACGTCCAATTATTGCTACAAATCGATTCCACAAACACCCACAAGAACTATTTCCCAACGGAGGCATTAACTCTGGAGCCGATGAATCCAGCGACAAAGTGATGGCGTGTTGCGGCCCTGCGACATATCGACCATCGCCACGCTGAAATGAGCGAACCGACCCCTCCCCTGCCTTTGTACCTGGAGCCGGCAGCCACCCTGGAGCCGCTGCTGTTGAAGGCGACGTGCGTGGCGTTGGTGGTGAACCGGGTCAGGATGCCGTCCGGATCGCCGTCAGGAAACGTGTGGATCTGCACCGTGTTGTTGGAGCTCGCCGTGACCAGCTTGCCGTTCTGTGGCGGGGAAGGACAGAAATGAATCGCCCGTCCTCGAAAAGATTGCCGAGGCAACCAGCTGACAGATGGCGACCGAACCTTGAGCGCCAGAGAGTACGCCTTCTCCCCCACGGTGATGAACTTGGGATCGTCGTCATCCAGACCCTCCCAGATGCGAACATCTCCGTCGTTCCCGCAGGTCACCAAGAACCTGAGGATGTTTCACAAGACTTATTGGGACAAGCGTGCTCGGTTCCTCGGCATCTGGCCGTGAAGGTTCCTGATGTTGTGCAAATCTAAAGCCAGTGTTTGGTTTGACCCCTCTGGGCTACTGTAGGTAATAACGCGTCATGAAATGAAAGAAATGAAGAAGCAACAGTAGAAGCGCCCGTGACAACAGTTTAAAACGTGAATACTTGTGGCAGAACTCACCTCCCAGAGTCATCGAAGCAGACCTCGGTGTGTCCCTCCGAGTGCCCGTAGCGCATCGGCTTCCTCTCGCAAGGCATCTTTGCACAAAACACCGGACTGGCAAAGCGGGAGAACACCGCAAATAAATACAAACAAGTGAGTACTTCCACGCGTTGGCCAGACACACGAGTGACGCGTGCGGGCAACGCGGCTGCCCTCCGGCCCCGTCACGAGCTCCCGCGGCTCGTTCGGGCGCCTCGGCTAGCCGAGGAGCTAAGCTAACAATACTGTAGCGTTAGCTAAGCGACGCTCTTTCAAAGCCAACCGGCGGATCGGTGGACGGTGTTTCCGGTACGACGCCTTCACCTCAGACCGAACGGGGCGCTGCGCGTGTTTATTCATGTGTCATTCGGAAGTTAGCGGGGCAACTTACAGCTTCTCCGGTGCGCAGAGTCCACGGCGCGGAGCCTCTCGTCTCCTGAATCTCCCGCGCTGCGTTGAAGACGATGACGCGCGGCGCCGCTACTACGTCATGACGCAATCGACGTAACTGCTCGTACTTTAGAGGGCGCGCGGAGCCGAGAGCCTCTACTGAGACAACGAGTACTGCTGTGTGCAAACAAGTACAAAAATATTATATATCATTTAAACACCAAATGCACTTTACTTTCTTTACTTACTTACTGAATCTGAATAGACGAGGAATGATACAGCCAAATACATAAAATATATACATTGCTGGATTATAATTATTGATTTATTAATCAGTTAAAAATGTACAGTTGTTAATAGTGGAGGTAGTTTTAATTATATTTTCTTGTTAAGTTCCGCAATAATCTGGACTAAAAGGTACGATATACCTCAAAAATGAAGTAAAAGTAGTAATTAACAAATCGAAATTCAATGTTTTGATAGTTGGTTTTCATATTGTATGTATTTATACATCTTTGTGATTTTCAATCCTCACTTTATAAAACAATTTATTTTTATTGTTTTGGATTCTAGTAATGCAAAATCACATGAATTGTATTTTTATTTTACTTGTGTGTCTGTGTTGTTTTAATATTGCTCTTCAGTACTTTGGGTTGTATCATTGTATGAAAGGTGCTGTGATAAATAATTACGTATTATTAGAACTTAAGGCCCCCTGTATGAAATGGAAATACTCAAGCAGAAGTATATCCACATTGTACTTTTATATATACTGTATATATTATATAGATAATGTATTAGTTACAGCACTGCAATCTGTCCTCCATGATTTGGTCTCTTTACCAGAACTCAGTTATTTATATATATATATTTCTGAAGTATCCGACACACCAGACAACCTCATCTCAACTAAACTTGACCGCATATTTACACAACTATAAGCGTCGTCTCTCCCAAACATGACTGAATACAACAGAAAATCCATCATTTCACTATTAAAAATCTTCTCATCTCATTTATTTAAGGCATGAATCTGCTCACTTTTATGTCTCATACGGTTGCTTTAATCATCTTTATTTTTTAACAAGTCGTACAAATATTGCATGAAAAGTTAGACTATTTAATTGGAGCATCTGTTACAGATGTTACTGAATGTATTAACTGGATGTAAAATGTATTCCCTTACATCATATTTTGTATTTCAGACCTTCACACTGCAAACACGGTTTTGTCTCGGGGGGATAATTTGATTAGTGCAACAGGAAGTAGTCTGCCAATAAAAAAGAACCAGACCGGGATCATGTGCAACAGCGCTGCAGCATCCAGTTTCACATTACAGGCGACTGGCTGCATGTTCCGTTTCCCGGATGTTGGATGCGTAATATATATATATATATTATTCCTTATCTATCATACTGTAGGCCGTATATGGTTACAGGCTATATGGTTACAATACATTTGCATTTTTTAATTTCTGTACACCAGTTTACCATACTTTTGTTTTCTCTGTATGTTGTATCATATTTCACGTCCTTATTAACTTGTACTCTCGTGATTTGATTTTTCTCATCGTTGTTATGAGTATACAGTTAAGAACTAAGAGACAATTAAAAACATGAACTTAAATCCCGACAGGTCAACGGAGGTGATGCTGACAGGGAAAACTTTGATGAATAGAATAACACATAATGTCAAAAAAAGACCACGTGAAACCTGATATCTGACCACAAACACCAACATAAAACGTTTAAAGCAAAAGGCGTGAGATGATTATTTCACGCCAGCGTTTGGATTCAAACGAGTCACCTCGGGGCGGATCTTTCCTTTTTGTTCTGCGATGTGAACGACATGAATCAGTTTTTAGAAAGAGAACTTCGTCGTCCTTTTCATGTCCTTATCTCCTCATTGGCTCCCCTGCAGCGCTGACATTTCGAGGTGTCTTCTCGTCGCGTCCCGTTAGCCCGTCCGCCACAGAGGGACACGTGGGCTTGCACGGATGGACGAGCACGACTCCAACTGTCCAGAGGGGACACAAAACCTGAGACACAGTCGATGTTCTTTATTGTTATTTTGTGTATCGGTGTGGTGAATAAAACATAATCCTCGGGGGGGCAGATGACTGCTCTTTGATTACAGTAAGTTAGTGTATTTCTACCATCCAGAAGAGATACTGTGGAAGTCGAAGCCAGTGAAATACTGTATTTTTAAAAACAGTTTCAGCAAATTACTGTACGTTCCTGTATTTCTTCAACAGAGTAGATATACTTGGAGTTCTGTTACAAGCAAACTGGCGGCCAGTAATTTACTGTTTCTTCACAGTAAAAAGAAACACTGCAAGTCTCACAGAAAACAACAACTAGTTAAATTCAATTAGTTAAAAACAGATTAGTCCCCTTATATGAAATTGTTGTTTGTTGTGTGATTGAGATTTAAATAGATTTGCAGTGTTTTCTCTTCCTAACTGACGTCATTTCTATCTGCGTGTGCTTTTCTTCTTCTTCCCTGTAAACATTTAGTTCAATACCAGTCCTGGCAATAAGCTGCAGAGGCACGACTGATGTTCAAACATCCAACGAGCAGCAGCTGAGTCCAGGTTCAGGATGGATGGAGTCTAGAGGGAGGAGGAGGGCGCCACCTGGCGGCTGTGGAGATGAAAGCAGGCCAACAAGGACGGTGCAGTTCCTCTCGTGGCCCCTGGAGGTGACACGTGACGAATCATTGATTGAGTGGAAGGGAGGAGAATGGTTGCAGATGATTGCAGGTGTCCTAGCAGTATCTGGACTTTGCTCCAGACTCAGTTCAAATTAACTGCATCAAACCGGTTTTGGTTCTTACATCTCCTCAAACACCTCAAAGTCTCCACTGCTGCACCTTTCGGACCTCAGAGTTCTGCAAAGGCCTCTTCGCCGAGCCATCGCGCCACCTTTCCCCCTCACACGGCGCAGGCCCCGTCGCACCTGACGTGGTACTGTCGCAGGTAGTCCCTGAGCTGCGGAGGCAGCGGCAGGTCGTCCACGCCCCGGTAGGTGGTGCGGCTGCAGATCACGGCTCTGCACAGGTGCTGCAGGGTGAAGGGGAAGGACCTCGGCAGCGGCCGGGAGAGGAGCGGCTCGAAGAAGAGGCAGGTGGCCGGGTCGCTGTAGTGCCGCAGCAGGCCCGTCACGCTGGCGTCCCGGTACATGCACGGGTCGCGCACGTCGAAGCTGAAGCGCTGGTCGTTCTGCTCGATGCGCGCGTGCAGCGAGCGGCTGTAGCGGCGGAAGCTGACCGAGAAGAGGAACTCGTCCTGGGCGGAGTCCCGCAGCAGGAACGTGCCCTCCGGTTTGCCCTCCAGCAGCTCCTCCGCCTCGAAGCGGTTCAGGACGCCCCAGTAGCAGCAGCTGTTGTTGATCTGCAGGAGATCCGGGACCAGGATGTAGTCGGTGTGGCCGCCCTCTGGCCCCCCGCGGGGACAAGAGGGGTCCCAGTCCTCCAGGCTGGAGCCTCTGGGCCCGGGGGAGCAGCAGATGTCCTCCCAGGCCGGAGGGGTCTGCTGCGGGGAGGCGGAGGAGGAAGAGGCGCTGGGTCCGAGGGGGGCCTCCGTGTCCTTCAGGGCGCCTGGGTGGGCGGCGTGGCTTTTCACAAGGTGCCAACAACGGGCCAGCTCGGATCTGGGCGAGAAGGGACACTTGTCCTGCATGAGCTCTGAGACGTGAACTTTGCGCTTGGACCAGAAGAGCACGGAGAAGGGTCGCGAGGAGCCCGGGGGGACGTGGTGCTGGTGGTGGTGGTGGTGGTGGGGGCGCAGGGGGAAACACTGGCCCACAGCGTCCTGGAACTTCTGCCGCAGAGAGCGCCGGGACAGGGCCTTCCGACACGCCGAGTCCCTGTCGCCGGACGCCGACGTGTCCCCGAGTGCGCCGCAGCTGCACCTCCTGTCCCGGCGCCGCCTCGGACAGGAGGTGGACCGCGCGGCCGGATCCTCCGGGCCGTCTGCCGCCGCCGCCGCCCCCCCGGGACTCGACCCGGGGCGGGAGCTTCGGGAGCGCTTCTTCCCCCGCCAGACGTAACTGTCCGCACTCCAGCTGCGGAGGCCCGACTTGGGAGGCGGGTCCGAGCCCGGCGGCGTCCTCTCCGACATGCCTGCGTCCTCTCGTCGCTCTGTGGCACGTGAATCAATACAGGAGTCACATCAGGACGTTATCTCACAGGCTCACGTCTCATCAGAAAATGACTTTTTACCTTTTCTTACTAATCACAAAGAGTTCAATGAGAACACAAAATATCATTGCGGAAACCTTTTTGTGCCTGAAGGGTCCGATTTTAAAACACGAGTAAATCCCTCCACGGAGCCACTAACTTATCGATGATATCTCTTATTTTTAAATCCATCTAGCAGCTGCATTTTGCTAAGATCTTTTAATTTAATCAACGGTTCAGAACCAACTGGCTTATGTCTTCTAATCACCTCCCGAGGGCGAGAAATTAAATTAACGAAGCCGAGTTTAGAAACGGCCTGCAGACAAAAATGGATCTGCTCCGGAGTTTAAAAAACACAGAAATTGGTTTAACATGTAAGCAGACGGGTCCATCCGGGCCGCTCTGGGAGGAGAGGCTCTAGTGGAGCCGCTCACGAAGCTGGTTTTTGAAAGTCTGACCTCATTTAGCGGCGCTTTAGGAGCTGATTCAGATGGTTCTTACCTCTCAGGCGGCAGCAGACGTCCTCGCTCGCTGCACAGCAGACATGTGCTGCAGCTCCGCTTCCTGTCTGATTGTCATGCAGGATCCCCGAGGGGGGGGGGGGGGGGGCAGCCGTTTCCTCTCTGGGTATGAATGAAGGGAGGGAGGGAGGGAGGGAGGGAGTGATGGGCGAGGTGGAGACGGGAGGGAGGGAGGCAACCAGGCGTCCTCGTCCATTGACAGATTCCATCTTCCCAGCTCCCCGTTCACAAAGTGAGTCCACATTATTAGCTGTTATTCATATTATTGTTATTTATTCAGCACCTTTTGAAACAAACTTCATAAAAGGGCCCATTAAACATGCAAAAAGAGGGTGTCAAACACGTATTATTGCTTTGTAGTTAAATATTTAACATTTATTCCAACAGTTTAACATAATAAAAACATCTTATTCAAACAATGCAGTATATGAATGAATGTATATATATATATATATATATATATATATATATATAACAATATTCTGAATATGACATATGTAACCATATTGTAACTATTCTACATATCCAATATAAATATATTATAATAAATATATTATAATAAAGGATAAATATATTACAATATAAGTGGGCTCCGTCTGGTTAACGATGCGTCCGGCGGAGGAAACAACCGGGCTTTTTAAAAAGCTCCCGCCAAACGGCTCCATCGGTGCAGGGATGTCACGCTCACAGTGCGGATGACATTTTGGGAGATCTATAATTCATGAAACAAATAGACTGCAGCTGTCAGACAAACACGATTACCCACTGGCTCAGTGTGTGTGCGTGTGTGTGTGTGCGTGTGTGTGTGCGTTGGAACAGATAACGGATGGTCATCAATAAACGCCCGACGTCTCAGATAATGTAGTGACACTCAGCTCGCTTTTAACAGAATATTTAATGCTCTTCACATTATCACAGGGAAGCAGAAAACAGATTTATACAACTACAAAAAAAACGGAGGAGAGAAACTGAAAGTAAACGGATCCAACTTTGGACAAAAGGATCCAACATCCTCAGAAGAAAGTGGAACTGAAAATGAATGCAAATGAAAAGCAGAGTCACTTCACTCAAGATTCTAACGTGTTTATTTCAGTTTGTGATTTCATGGAGCAGCAAACACAAATCTTTCATGAGAAAAAGAGATGTACTGTAGGAGACTTAACTTCCTCATTGCTGCATGTCACTCATGCAACATTCAGCTTCTTCATTGACAAATCGATTATGGAGACAATAGTCAGTCACAGTCAGGTGACCTGCAGACGAAGACTTCACTCACAAATGAAACAGGAAAACGGAAAAATTACACTAAGCTTTTCACATTTTATTCATAAGAAGAAACAGCGTTCCGGCCCCTGCTGACTGACGTTAGCTTTGAAAACATTAAGTACATTTTGTTTTGTCTGAACGCTGCCATGAATAAACAATACACGCGTGATGTTTGTCCATTTAAGAGATCATCACAGAGCGTCGTCTCCACGATGTAAAGTTAGCCAGCTAGCAACACAAGCTAAGCTAACGGTCAGCGACGCCGGAGGTTCAGTCATGGCTCAATTCAAAGGGGGCCCAAACGGGGGGCCCCGGGGGACGCCGGGAGGGGCGTGGCCCGGCCTAACAGAGGTAACTCGGTGGGCGCGGTGCTGGTTTATCCAGGAAGCGGCTCCCGCGTTGGCGAACTCCGGTGGACCCGTTAAACGCGACCCGGGGCTCGCATCGGTCCACATCCCCGCAGGCATCGATCGTGAATAATTGATGCTGTGCTGATTGAACGGAGACTCTGCTGCTTGTACTTTTATATGAAGGCTATTACAGTTTTTGTTAATTCATACTTAATGCAGTAAGGACGATGGAAACTAAAAATGCCTTTTTTATATATTCAGATTATTCGTTTGATGCATATTAGTTATTTAAACTGCTCACAAACCGGCATCTTACGGATGAAGAGGTACAAGCGGCTCTAATGAATATCTTTGCAGCCACAGTGGATTTAATGTCTGTGTTTAGTACATTCGCCTGACTGCAGTTCTCCCTCAGCGCCTTTTGACGGCTTTAAGTCCATGAAAGCTTAATCCTGAACATGAGTTCATGCTCTCAGTCTCATAGTTTCAAGTCTTGTTCAATGTTCATTTAGTAAATTCCGGTCCATTTAGAGTCAAACGGACCATGGAGCAGGGGACGCTTTAGGGCGGGGCTACTCGCTGATTGACAGGAGCCAACTTTAACCCTTTTGCGGTGCGTTTTCACTTCACAGAAGATAAACTGTAAAACGTTGCATGTCTAAAGAACGTCTCGGGGTCGCGGTGACCGCGTCCTCCTCTCGTGTGCAGTCCACGCTTTAACGGCCGGTACAATCATGTGAATTACAGAAATTGAATCAGCAGAGAGTCTCTGGCTCCGCCGGTCTCAGTTCATTGATCTGTATCAGAAGACTCGTCTGACTTCGGGGTCTCATTACATCTCCCTTAAAGAAACATTACAACATTTCTCATGCCTGTGCGTGTGTGTGTGTGTGTGTGTGTGTGTGTGTGTGTGTGTGTGTGTGTGTGTGTGTGTGTGTGTGTTGGTGCAGCAACCTGAGCCTTTGGGGAATTTGGGGATTTTTTTTTAGGTGTTGGTCCATTTTCATTCGTGATGTTCATGTTTTAAAACACTCCAGTTGTAGGACGTGTTTTATTGGTTCTCTATTTCCTGTTACTCCACCGCACGTTGATGAAATAACAGTCCAGAATGACAATGCTATTTCTAACATCTCTTTCATACCTTAATGACATTAAATGACTTCCTGGAGGTTGAATCAATAAGCGAGCCAAGGTCAATAATGTCTGTATTTATGACTAATAATTCCATTTGCAGTAAAAGTAATAGGATGCCTGCTTGCTCTAAGGCAGGGGTCTCAAACTCCGGCCCGCGGGCCACATCCGGCGTCCGGTCCGGACTGCAACGCCACCCTCTTACCCCGGCGACCGCCAGCGGCGCCCCTCCCCCCCTGCACCTGACCCGCACCTGAACTGAGTTTCAGACCGCTGCTCGAAGGCCTTCTAACTACAATCATCCTTCCAGAGACAATTGTTTTATTTTAGTTTCTCTATTTTCTTTTCTTATTTGTCTCTCTTTTATCCATCGAGTACTTTTACTTTAAACGCTCACTTCTTTACCCCAAAATAGTTTAATTGTGTGAAATGAGGTACGTCAGCACTCGAGGATTCCAATACCCCACGGATCACATGCCCGTTGTTCAGCAGCCGTGGATGTGAATCTGCTGTGGACACGCGAGCCGTATCGACTTCCTCGGGGGAGATTTATTTATGCCTGCAGCCGCCCTCTTCCCGCAAGCAAGGTGCGTCCTGAGAGGTTTCTCCTCTCCGCCATGTTGGACAGGAGGTAACCAAAGCCAGGGGCAGAAATACACACACACACTGTCACAAGGACAATTCTGACATTTGAGATATATATATATATATATATATATATATATATATATATATATATATATAATCAAAGAACATTAGGTTGAAATATGTCATGGGAAGAAAATGAAAAAAATATTTGGTAAAAAACTGAAAATATATTAATTTGAAGAATGTCATGAAAAAAAATGTAAATGTGTGTTTATAAATGTATAAAAATGTTAGAATGTTCTATGGAAAAAATTGAAGGTTGTAAAAAAATTTAATCTGAAAAAAAATGTTTTGACCAAACATTTTTTTGACGTTTTATTGTTACTTTTTCTTCCATTGCATTTTTTGCCCAAATATTTTTTATTTGACTTTTTTTCCCATTACATTTTTTAACCTCATATTTTTTTCTTCTCTGAAAAGAAATACATTATGTTATAAGAGTTATAAGATTTTTCATTACATAAAAAAAAAAAAATCAAGTAAAAAAAGGAATTGCTAAAAACGTCATGTGATGGAGGATACTTTGACCTTTGTTTGACTACTTGAAGTTTTCCATACGAATGCACTCCACGGCGGAGCAGTGCGGTCTGACGGCTCTTTCTTACTTATTAGAATTGAATCGAGTGCTTCTGGTCCTCTCACGTGGAACACGAAGCTCATATCCTACTGAAACCATTCGTCATGGTAAAAAAAAAAACTAAGATTCCAACTCCAGTTTCCCCCTGAAGGCACCGCCTGAGCATTCTGGCCTCCTCCTCCCGGCCTCTAATGCCCCGAGGAGAGCCAGTGGGAGCAAATCGCTGCAAGCGAAAGCATTGAATGTCTCTCGCTAGTCAACGTTTGCACACAAACCCCCCCACCGACAATCGATAACCGAGAGGAAACCTTCCAGTAACTGTGTGTCTGAAGGCAGCTCGCAGCTGGAGGATGCTGACAGAACCTCGGCATCCCTGATGGCTCTTCTTCACAGTGTTAAACATCGTCACAGTCTGAAATGACTCGAAAGGATTCGGTGGGTGTCAGCGGGTGCAATTGTTGAGCAGAAGGTAATGAATTCCAGAACAGGATGCTTCGAGAATAACAAAAAAAAACATAAAAACATACGGGGGCTGTTGGACATCAGTTGATGCAGATGTTCCTACTGGGAAATGTCAGCGAATATGAGACATGGAAATTAAAGATAAACATTAAAGATCATATATATATATATATATATGTGTTACATTACAGTACAGGTCATTTAGCTGACGCCTTTATCCAAAGTGACTTACATTGCATTTAGAAATGTATTATTATTGTCTCTTTTGGAAGGTTATTCTTTTGTTTCAGTTTAAGTTTATTTAACTTAATTTAATTTAATAATTTAATATATTAAATAATAATATAATATTTCTATCTTATTATATTGTATATAATGTGTATCTTTTTATTCTATTTTCTTCTCTGTACATGCTGCTGTGATACCAAAATTCCCTCTTGAGGGATCAATAAAGTATCAGTCTGTCTATCTATCCATCTATAAGACTCACTTGTCCACAGTTAAGTCACCTGCATCGATCTTTTATGTGTTTGCCTTTTACTGTTTTACTGTTTATTTTTATTTTATTTTTATTTTTTTCTTGTTTGTTTGTTTTACGTTTGCTTGTATTATTTTATTGATGCTGTTTTTATCCTGTAAAGTGGCTGGCCACTGGCCTTTAAAAGTGCAGTATAAATAAAAGGAGCAATTAGGGGTTAGGTGTGTGTGTGTATATATATATATATAAAATATATATTTTTAATGCTGATGCTTCATAAACTGTCTATAATCTATAATCAATAATGGAATACTGAAACAACAACAAAACATACTTTAGCAAGTAGGAAGGAGGAAATTGCACTTTCTTGTTTCTTGTTCTCCTGAGTTTGTACCCTATTGTTTGTATGCACTTATTGTACGTCGCTTTGGATAAAAGCGTCCGCTAAATGACATGTAATGTAATGTAATGTAATAAAGTAGATAACCAGTTGGAACGATATGAATCTGATCCGATATTATATTTTAACGTCTAATATCATTTTGTGACAAGACTACAGTTCTTTATCTAAATGTTGGTCTAATCTCCATTAGTCGACGTTTTGTCTTCCAGCTTTCTGTTGTTGATTGAGCTCGTTCCCCTTCAAAGCTCAGTTTGTAAAGCTGCTTATTGATTCAATTGATCAGATAAATCACAAAAAGCACCTTTTCCTGCAAAGCGTTTTATCCTTCAAAGTAAGAGCCCCAATTCTAAAAAGGAGGACACAACATAATATTGGTGTAATCATAGTTTAAAATATTTAATGTTTTTGTCATGAATGAAACTATTTTTCATAACTCAATCATGTTCACAATAAATTGACGTTAAAAAACAGGGAATCAGTCACATCCAGTTTCTGCCCTGATTTAGAAATACTAGTCCTGGGATAATTAGGATAATTAGCCCATCCAACTTAATACACGTTTGTTCTGCCACCTAAAACGTCTCTACATTAGTATTTTGTCGTTACGTATTGTTATGTTATCGAACTATTAATGAATTTGTGGGAGTTTATCTTGAAAGAAAGAACATCTTTGTACCGGAAGTGGTGTCTGCTAGCTTGATAGCACTTGTTGCTTGGCTGAACGGACAGCTTGTGACCGGTAAATACATATTAAAATGTTATACGTCTTTAATTAAAACAATTACGTCGTGTATAATTAAACGCTATGCTTATTTCCTTCACTTGTAGTTGACTCGTTTTGCTTTACTGTTTCGTTGACAGAAGATAACTTACATGTCAGCTGAGCTAAGCTAGCTAAAGTAAAGTTAGCACAGTGTTAGCACAATGCTAGCTTAGTGGTGCTTAGCGAACCTACTGAAACTTACGGCTTTAAGGAGGAAAAATTCTTCTCACTTTGCGTTTATCTAACGTGGCTTTGAAGATTGTTCACTAGTCAAATATGTTTTGCATGTTGCATCGTTGTCGACTTGTTTGGTTTTATTGAATTCAATGTTACTTAAGTTACTCTCACTTAAGCTATTAACGTTATACACAAATACCGTTAGTGAAAGAAACACATGTATAACGTTAATATGAATGGATTATAGTATATATTTTAAATAAGTGACTACAGATATACCATTAACATGTATATGTAATATTGAAGTGTAAGTATAATCTCAGCCAAACCACCAAAATAAATCAACAGATCGTCACTTCTTTTCTGCAGGAACTTAAATAAACTTCTCGTTCTGTAATTAGTCAAATAAATCAGTGGACTTAATAAAGTCGAAAACCTTTCTTTGATTGTTACATTTTTGCTTAGTTATCGTGTTTAGTTTTTCTCTTTTCTGTGTGTCGTTGGGAAGCGCTCTGATAGTTCTAGTTCATTATTTTGAACACCATTCGTGGATCACGTGGTTACCTTTCCTCCAGGAGTCGCTCACCATGGCCAAAAGCCTGTCTGACCTCCGGGACTATGACAGCATAGAGGACGAGACTTTCGCCCCCCTGCCGCCCCCTCACTCCCCGGGCCACGGAGGACAGGAGGCCGCAGAGCCTTTCGACGATGGTGAGAAAGTCGACTTAACATCCAGCCGACACCTAGAAGGTGGAGAGACTCGACAGAAGGATGTTGACTTGAGATGCTGACGGAGCAGCGGTCATGTGCTGTGGTTAATGCAGGAGAGGACGACGCCGACGGGTCCAAGCTGGCCGACGTCCCGGCTTCTAAGAGACGAGGAGTAAAAAGGCCGCAACCCAAGCTGGACTCTCAGAGGTACCTCGGCCCTCAGCCACGTCTGTGATGGGTTGTAAGGACCTTAGACGCCGGGACGTCATCTCATTCTAGCTCCACTTGAAATCTACAGCTCCAGATTTAGTCATTTCGATTTAAAAATGTTCAATTTGCCCTCATTAATATTTATTTTATGTGTGAACATTGAATCCAATGAGTTCTTGTACATTTTCCTTCAGGCTGACCTCAGAACGAGGACTTCCGGCTCTACGAACCCTGTTCGACAACGTCCGTTTCAAAGGCAAAGGCCACGAGGTGAGAGCCGGCGAGTCGCTCTCGGCTGACCGGAACTTATCACGTAACATTGAGCCGACACGCCTCGTGGCGTTTGTGTGTGCTCGCTTCCTCCAGGCCGAGGACCTGCGGCTGCTGATGCAGAAGATGGAGAACTGGGCTCACAGGTTGTACCCCAAACTGCAGTTTGAGGATTTTGTGGACAAAGTGGAGAAGCTGGGCAACAAGAAGGAAGTGCAGGTGGGAAGAAGACAGCACGGCCTCTCATTTCATTCAAATGACCTTTTAACTATTACACAATTCATTATTATTAGGAGTCATTTTATGTTTCCTTTTGTTTCCTGCAGACCTGTCTCAAGCGTATTCGACTGGACATGCCGCTGACCCACGAAGACTTCATGGGGGGTAAGAGAGGAAAACGTTTTTCTTATTTCCATGAGGCCAATGTCAAAGTCTAGCACCAGTTATTCACAAAATTCAGCTACATGGGGGGGTTGCATTTTAAAAACATGTTAAATAAATAGAAATATTTAGGAAATGTGAAATATGTCCAAATATAATTTACGAATCCCACAACAAACTCACTATGATCATTGTAATGTATCTCAATGAAAACACCACAAAGCTTATATCACAGATACATTTATAGTGGTTCTGCTCCACTTCCAAACTTTTCCAAATCCTACAGTGGAGCTTTCCTCTGTCATCAGTACCATCCGTGAGAGGTCAGGTGTATTTTGTTATGTGAGAAAGTGTTAATTTCGACGACGAAAACTATGATGAACATTTTTTCCATGAGTTAAGACGACAACGATGTTAAAAAATAGACTAAATCTATTCTAACTTTCGTTAACGAGACGAAGTCACAATACTTTTCCCCCCTAAATTCGCACGCAGCTGACAGACAACAGACAGACAAAGTACGGCGGTTATTAACGCGTCACGATGACGTCATCCACCAACCCAGAACGCTCCCAGCGCTGCAGCGGTGGTTCTTGTGCACCGACTACGGACCGCGACGACTATTTTACGCTTCGCCGAGTTCTATGAGGGACATCCATAGACCTGTCCTAGGAGCGACATCTATAGACCTGTCCTAGGAGGGACATCTAATGGACAACCAACTACTGCAAGCTAGACTATTATGCAGCTGTAGACACACCACAGGGGGTCCCTGGGCCTGAGAAGGGAAGAAAAGGAGTTTAATGTGGCTGTTAAATGAGACTAAAACAATTACCTTTTAGTCTAGTTTTCGTCGACTAAAACTAAGAAGGATTAAAATGACTAAATGTGACTAAAACTAATATGCATTTTTCTACTTAAAACTAAATTAAAAAATAGCTGCCAAAATTAACACTGGCTGAGAAAGACCTCGGCGCTGAAGCCACATGGACGAGTTCTCAGCGAGTCCCGTACAACTAAACGCTCCCTTTGATGCGTCTCGGTTCAGGTGAAGCAGCAGTAGATCCAGAGGCTCAACTTCTGGCCGATCCGGATCCGTTCAACAGCTCGAGCTTCACCAACCTGCCGCCTCCGGTGCACTCCACTCCGGCTCCGCCCCCCCCACAAGCTCCGCCCAGCATGACGGAGGAGCAGCGTGAACGCATGGAGCAGAACCGCCGGCGGGCCCTGGAGAGGAGGCTGACCCGCCAGCAGCAGCAGCCGTGCGGTGAGAGGACGTCAAATGATGGAGACGCACGGCTGCATCCACATCAGTTTAGAATATTACAACAACATCAAACCGTTACTATAACATTTAACTCTGTCTGTTCCGATTGGTCGCTTGACAATCACCTAGGTCATGTGACTGATCATGTGACACAGGTGGACTTGAGTGACTCAGCTATGTGACTTGTGAGGGTGTTTGGGAGCACAGCTGCTTTCATTTGACTTAGTACGTGCTGTTGTATTCATTCGAACGGAACATTGTGCTCTTATGCTCGTACTTCTGTGCAAAGGATTGTGGGTCAGAACAACACAACGCTTTGCGTGCTGCGAAACGCATCCTGGTAGTTTTGGCTGACTGCATATTGTAAAATAGAAAACGCTATTCTGGTTTTATGAGTGTATGAACACTCATTATTTCGGGACTTCATTTGAAATTGGATGAAGACAAATATCTTAATCTTAATTATCTTAAAATAATAATTTTGTGTGTTTTTGTTGAAGCGTGTGACTATTGTTCTGCCGCCACTCAAGAGACGGATTGGAATATACCTAATTTAGGGAAACATTGAATGACATCAGATGTAAAATGTCTCCCTCCAGACTCGTCGGCAGATGAAGCCAAATCCGTCTCATCCGCAAGAGTCAACAGTCCTGAAGATCGGGCTGAGGGGGTGGAGCCTGAGGGGGTGGAGTCAGCCAGCAGCACGCAGCAACAGGAAGCAGAAGAAGAAGAAGAAGAAGAGCCCAGCCAGCTTCCCCACACAGACTCTGAGCCTCCTGCCGGACCCCCCCGCAGCGAGAGAGAGCAAGAACCCGTCCTCAGCGAGGACCGTGAGGACGGAGACTAACGCTGCGGGTTTGGGAGCACAGAAATATTCTTCAAAAGTCCCTGTTTTATAATTTATAATTATTTGTAGGGTCTGTACGTCACATTTTATTATCGGTAATATGAATGTCTTTATGCTGATGATCAATAAAAGTTCCTTTTATTAATAAACAAATATTGGCCGAAGTGAATATTTATAATAATACTCACTGATAAAAATACTGTTCGTAATAGTTTGAACCAGATCATCGTGTTAAATATTAACACAAATGATCCAGTTTTGTGAAGTCAGCCATTTAAAAACTTCACGCGGTTGCCGCAGCAACCTGCGACACGGCCTCCAGGTCGAGCAGCGCCAGCTCCCGGACCTCCTCCAGGAGGGAGTACAGATTGGGCGTCTGGCTCTGGCTGAACTCTCGCTCCTCTCTGGAGAGCTTGGGCCGGCGGGCCGCCTTCTCCCGGGCCTGCTGGGACGCCTCCTCGGCCAGACGCACCACCTCCTGCACCAGCTGGCTGCGGCCCTGCGCGCCGGGCCGCTTGGGCTCGGCGCCGCGGTGGGGCCGGTTGCTCACCGCCTCCAGGTGGAGGGCGTCGGCGTGGCAGTGGGTGGAGCGCACGGAGACGCAGACCTGCGGAGGACACGACGTCAGATGAACGTGCTGCGGGGAGGCCAGAGCTCAATGTGTGAAGAGTAATTCTTTAAGCTTTAAAAAGAATACGTAAGTTGATAAGTGTAACAAAGTAATACATTGCTTTACAAATATTATGTAAATAAATTAGATGCTTTGAAAGTTTTCTAAGCATAAAACGAATAAATCGACACTCACGGTGATGTGGTCGAACAGGCGGAAGGTGGAGGTGCCGCAGCTGGACGTGGTGCTGATGTGGTCAGACTGACGCCGCACGGCGCCGCTCTGCCACTCACAGAGACCGCCCTCTCCGTTCGCCACCACCTGACCCTCTCGATTTCTTCATGTACACGGGCCTTTTAACTCGGTACCTGCGGGGGGAGAGAGAAAGAGATGCTGTCTTCATCCTTTTAAAAAGGTGATGACATATGACTCAACGAGGGGGGGGGGGGTCGTACTCCGGGACAAACACCAACACGCCGTTGTCTCGGATGGAGTAGATGACGGCGTCCGCGAGGCAGCGCTGGTCCGACTGAGGGTCTCTTTCCTTGAAGTAGAGACACTGGAACAACTCTGTTGACAGCTTCTGGGCCTGCTGGGAGGCCTGGAGAGGGGGTCACAGAGGTCAAAAGGTCAGAGGGAGTTTTTTCACCTACAGCTAAAGGAGAAACGGGCACCGACCCGGTTCTTGTTGTTGATGTGACGGGTCGTCTCCTCCAGGTCTTTGTTGCTGGCCACGGCTCTGCCGGGGTCACGACCCTCGTCCACGTCGATGGCGGCGGTGAGGAGCCGGTGCACCACCACGTCGGCATAGCGACGGATGGGCGAGGTGAAGTGAGTGTAGCGGTCCAGCGCCAGTCCTAAAACAAACAGGAAGTGGATGTTGTCGTGGTGAAGGCCTCCAGGTGGTGCAGGAGTGGAACAGGTGTAGAGGAGATGTGGTTAAAACGCAGAGGATTCCCATTGGGTGAAACCAGCGTCCGGAGTGGGTACCGTAATGGTAGAACTGGTCTTGGGACTGCAGCCCAGTGGAGAAGTACACGGCCTGCGACATGGCAGAAGTGGCCATGATCCTCAGCATCCTGTTCACCAGCGGGTCCCGTGGGTCCACAGCGCGATCCAGAGAGTCCGCCAGGGCCTTGTTGGACCTGGAGGAACACGCGTACCGGTCAGAACATGACCGTGCACCCGGGCAGGAATACAAGTAATGCAGAACCTTTTCCCCAAAACAAGTTGCTATGGCGATAAAATGGAGCCGCGGAGGAACAGCTGATGATGTCGTTATCATCTGTCTTCTCTCAGTTGTTCCGCCGGGCCCCTCGAGCAGTCACCTGGTGTCCACGGTGAACCCCCGGGCCGCGGCGCTCTCCACCAGCTGGCTGAAGAACTCCTGGCGGGGGGGCGGGTGGCGCCTCAGCAGGGCCTGGTGGGGGAAGGCCTCCTGGATCTTGCGCGCCACCCAGTGGTTGGCGTAGATCATGCACTCGGCCACGGTCTCGTGGACCTCCAGCGGCTGACGGGGAACCAGCGCCGTGATGTTCCTCTGCTCGTCCAGCTGGGCTCGCACCTGAGGACACGGGACGAGGGACGAATTTAAATCCTGGTTTAGATGGTTTTTATTTACTAATTAATCCTCACGTGGCCGTTTTTACGCGCATCTGCGCTTTTATTTTGAAGGACGGAGGAACCACTCTCACCTCCACCCCTTCCAGCTCCAGCGCCCCCCCCTGGTCCCTGTGGGCCCGGAGGTGCCTGGCCACGCGGGTCAGCGTCTCCAGAGCCCCGGTGAGCTCCGCCAGCCGGGCGTCCCTCTCCGCGGGCCCGAGCCCGCGCAGCTCCGGCACCTCGGCCGCCCCCCCGTCCAGCAGCGCCTGGGCCAGCTCGTAGTGGAGCTGGTAGGAGGAGCGCACCAGCGTGCGCCCGTACCACACCTTCTCCACGGCGAGGGTCTGCGCGTCCAGCTCCCACACCACGCTCATCGCGTACCTGCGGGCGGGGTCACAGGGTCACATGGGATTTACCCGCCATTGTGCGAGGGAGGTTTTTGTTCGGTTTGGAACGCGAAGGAGCGGCTCAGGACGCCGAGCAGAAACCAGGAGGCGTCGGCTGACCTGTCGACCCCCCCCAGCAGAGAGCAGAGGTCCGCGCTGAGCACAGCCGGCAGCATGTCGTAGCGCCGGTCGGCCAGGTAGTACGTCGTCGCCCTGGAGAGGAGAAGAAGAGTTTGTTTGTATATTCTGTCCTGACTGAATACATTGATCCCATCATGAGCTCCAGTCCGTCCTCTCTGGGGGGGCGTCACAAACCCCTCCCCCCCCCACGGCCTCCCTCAGCTCACCGGGCTCGAGCCTCCAGGTCGGTGAGCGAGCCCTCGGCCACGAAGTGGGTGACGTCGGCGATGTGGACACCGAGCTCCAGCAGCGTCCCTCCGGCGAGGCGGCGCACCGACAGGGCGTCGTCCACGTCCTCGCAGCCCAGCGGGTCGACGCTGAACACCAGGTGGCTCCGCCTCAGGTCCCGCCGCTGCGCCGCCTGGGCCGCGTCCACCGCCCACGGCCGCTCGGGGGAGCTCGCCGGCAGCTCCCTCAGCTGGGGAGGGACAGGTGGTTAACTCACTTGCGGGGGGGGGGGGCGGCGCTCTCTCTACCTCATAAGACGAGCAGATTCGTCACGTTAATAAAATAAAACTCCATTAATCTCTGGGATTAAAACAAAGTGACCTTTGGCCTCAGGAAAGGACCCTCGAGGGTTCAGCTGAATCCTTTATAATGATGTCATTAACGCATATTTTAGATTGGTGAATAGTGAGGAAAGTGTTACGCTTTAATATTTAATAATATAACACGATACGGGTGAGATGAGCCTCATCAATATAAACATGAAATCTTTATTTCAATAAACAACTTCCAGGGAGACGGAATAAAAACAGCAAACAACAAAATAAATGACATGAAATGTGAGATTGAGATTGCTGGGGGGTGGGGGGAGGGGTCGCGGAGGTCACAGCCCCCCCCCCGTCTCACCTGCGCGTCGGAGAACGGGGGCACGTGGATGCCGTTCTCGATGAGGATGGTCTGGACCTCCGTCTCCAGCTCCCCGGCCCGACCCAGCACGCGCACGCTGTGGCCGTTGGGGTACAGCGACGAGCTTTCCCAGGAATCAATGCGCACCACCACCCTGTGGTCCTGTGGGGGGGGGGGGGGGGGGGGGGGGGGCAGGGGGTGTTTCATTCTCACAGTAGCGAAGGACTCAACCACGATATCGGGCCTCGTGCGAGCTGGGACCACACCTGCAGGGCGTCGGCCTGCTGGGTGCTGACGCGGATCTTGGGGATGCGGTGGTCCCAGGGGACGGCCAGGAGGCGCTGGGTGTTCCTGCTCTGGGCCTGGGGTCCTTCTCGGGGGGGGAAGGTCACCACGTAGTCCCTCCAGTTCCTCTGCGGGACGCCGACGACGCGGCCTGTGGATTCAGGGTCAGACAGACGGGACTCATTTGGTGTCGGAAAGCAACTTTGCTTCTGGACGTTTGCCTAAAGACGCGCGTCGTCGTCCATTCACTCGTTTCCGTGGAAACCCGCGGGCTCAGTGGCTCATCGCCGAACCGACTGCAAAGGCGACCTCACCTGTGGGCATCGGCTTCCTGTCGGCGTCCTCGCCGCGCTTCTCCTCCGCCCCCCCGCCCCCCGGGCCTTCGGCCAGAGCCGAGTCCCTCCCTCGCCACTCGCCCCTCGGCAGCAGCTCCACCACCACCACGTCGCCGTGCACGGCCCGGTTGCGGTTCTTGGCGCCGCAGACCAACACGCCCCAACTTAGATCTGGGGGGGGCGAGACAAAGAGACCGTGGGGGAGGGGAGGGGGGAGGGGAGGGGGGGGGGGGGGGGTTTAGGACAGATGGAAGACAGATCCGTCCGACGAGGTGAGTCCTGCTGCTGTGGTTCAGCACCTGAGTTCTTGGTGGACAAACCCTCGGCGGTGACGAACCCTGCTGTGCGCCCGGTGCTAGCTGACATTCAGAGTCCCTGAAGGGGGAGTGAAGGGAGGGGGGGGAGGGAAGGGAGGTCATCAGAACAGCTGCCGGGCACAAACATGAAAAGCCGCGCAGGTGGACTGGTAGCTGCACCTGCACGTAGCGGCCGGACTTGACGCCGGCCTCCAGGACCTCGGCGGGCAGATGTTCGGCGAACTCCTTCTTCTCGGCGACCTCGCTCTCCTCCTCCTGCAGCGCCTGGGACACGGCGGCGTACAGGTCGTGGGCCGCCGTCAGCTCCGGCAGGAAGTTCACCAGGAAGTCCTGGTTTTGCACAAGAGGGACACGAGTGACGACGGGTCTCCAGAGACCTCCGGGAAACAACGGCCACCACTACACCGTCAGCGCGGCGTACCCGGACGGAGATGACGTAGACTCCGGCGTTGAGGCTGCCGTACCGAGCCGCGGCCGCCTGGTCCTCCGTGATCATCACCACGTCCTTCATACCGGCCAGATGGTTGTAGTACCACACCGCAGTGGAGTACACACACCTACGCGCACACACAGACACACAATGTAGTACAGCTTCAACTTTCACATCCTGTGTTCAGTCATCAAGCACCTGTTGATCACTGCGATAAAAGTCCTTAGACGGGAGAGTAAAAAGTTTGGGGACGACATAAAGCGTAACACCGGTGGAGGACGTCGATCCGCATAATTAAATCTTCATCGGGACAGAAATCACGTTGCTAAGCGCGACTTTACTGTCTGCAAAGATCGCTTCCCCCAACAGGAAGCTTCCAGGACGCCGTTTAATCTCTGCAGCGGACGACCGTTGGATCCACAATGCATTGGTGATGATTATGCAAATGAGACTAAAGCGCCTTCACGCGCGCATCGATTGATCGTTTTCTCAGTTTGAATGTTGAGATTTTGTTTTTATCCGTTTTTCTGCATAAAAATGAATTTAGAAAAAAGAATCAGCGTCAAACAGTCAACAAAGCGTCACGTTTCTATTTCAACAGAAGAAAAGAATAGTAATACTGTGTGTGTGTGTGTGTGTGTGTGTGTGCGTAACAACAGACAGTACGACAACAAGACAGACAACATAGTGCAAAAGGAATGAACTATAATAAGGTGCTATAGGTTAATGTGTTAGTTTAAAAATAAAGGAGTTTCAAAAAAATCTTTAAAAGTTACAAAATAAAGTGCACCAGCGAACAGAAAGAGACGTGTGTGAGCGGTGAGTCAGTCAGTGGGGGTCCGGCTCTGTTGATGAGGTCTTAGTCCTGATGGACCTCAGCCTCCTGCCAGATGGAAGGGGCACAAACAGGTTTTGTCGGGGTGAGAGGGGTCGGCTACCATCTTTGTAGCTGCTTCAGAGACCTGGAAGCGAACGAGTCCTGCAGAGACGGCAGATTGCAGCCGATCAGCCTCTCTGCAGAGCGGAGGACACGCTGCAGCCTGCCCTTGTCCTTGGCTGTGGCTGCAGCGTACCAGACGGTGATGGAGGAGCAGAGGATGGACTCCATGATGGCCGTGTAGAAGTGGACCATCGTCGTCTTTGGCAGGTTGAATGTGAATCGTGTGAGGAGACGCACACCCACCTGGTCTGCCACTCCTCCTGCCTCTCCCCCTTCTCCCGCGGACAGTACGAATACTCCTGGAACTCGTTGGCGAAGAGCACACAGTCGTGTTGAGGGTCTTTGAGAAGGTTTCGCAGCCGGTTGTATTGCCTACACACACACACACACACACACACACACGTGTCAACAAATTAAATGTGACCCGGTGACCTCTGCGACCCCGGTGACCTCTGCGGAGGTTCCAAAGGAGCTGCAGGTCTCTCTGAGAACAACGCGGCCCGAGCGGCTGGACAGGAAGCTGCTGTGCGACGCCGGCGTACCTGCGACCTTTGACGTGCTGCACGGCCTGGCAGGCGGTCTGGGTGAAGACGACGCCCCGCAGCTCCCGGAACTCCAGAACCTCCAGGTAGTCCAGAACCACGGCCACATCCGGCACCACGTAGTGGGTCAGGTCCCCCGGCAGCACTTTGGCCCCTGGAGGAGACCATCACATAACTTGACATCACATCACATGTCATCACATCACGTGTCATCACATCACGTGTCATCACGTCATGTCATCACATCACATCACGTGTCATTTAGCTGACTCTTTCATCCAAAGCGACATTAAGTGCATTTAAACGACAAGGAAACAAACAAGAAAGTGTGATTTCATCAAATAAGCCGATGTACAACTTGCTGTAGATAAGAACCATTATAAGTCCAGTGTAAGTGCTACAGTTAGTGTGTTAGTGGAGGTAGAGTGTGAAGAGGTGTGTCTTTAGTCTGAAGATGTGAAGGCTCTCTGTGGTCCTGATGTCTTCACAGACCTCCTTCCACCATTTAGGAGCAGGACAGCAAAGAGTGGAGATCTAGTCGAGTGTTTTGCTCTCAGTGAGGAGGAACAAGCAGTTTATCACATGCAGAGCGGAGAGTGCGGGTCCTACCGCTGCGTTGTGCTGTTTACCAGCGTTGTTTACCGATGTTGTATTGTTTACCAGTGTTGTTACCGATGTTGTATTGTTTACCAGTGTTGTGTTGTTTACCAGCGTTGTTTACCGATGTTGTATTGTTTACCAGTGTTGTGTTGTTTACCAGTGTTGTTACCGATGTTGTGTTGTTTACCAGTGTTGTTACCGATGTTGTGTTGTTTACCAGTGTTGTGTGCGTGTTGTGTTGTTTACCAGTGTTGTGTGCGTGTTGTGTTGTTTACCGGTGTTGTGTGCGCGTTGTGTTGTTTACCGGTGCTGTGTGCGCGTTGTGTTGTTTACCGGTGTTGTGTGCGTGTTGTATTGTTTACCGGTGTTGTGTGCGCGTTGTGTTGTTTACCGGTGTTGTGTGCGTGTTGTGTTGTTTACCGGTGTGGTGTGCGTGTTGTGTTGTTTACCGGTGTTTTGTGCGTGTTGTGTTGTTAACCGGTGCTGTGTGCGTGTTGTGTTGTTTACCGGTGTTGTGTGCGTGTTGTGTTGTTTACCGGTGTTGTGTGCGCGTTGTGTTGTTTACCGGTGTTGTGTGCGCGTTGTGTTGTTTACCGGTGTTGTCGCAGTCCGCCTGGCACAGGCCGCTGTAGCAGGGGACGCGCTCGCGCAGGTAATGCTCTCGCACGACACGCAGCTTCCGGCCGCGGCAGCTCTTGAGGTGAAGGATCTTTTCGGTCTTTTTCATCTTTGGTCGGTTGCTGTTGTTTTCTTTCTCAAACCGCAAGGCGGGAAAAGCGACAGTTCTAAACAATCAACGATGAACACTTCCGGGAAGTGCATAAAATAATACTGACGTCATGACGCAAAACGGGTCGCCCTGCCCCTTTCTGCTGCTGCTGTGTTCAGGTGCTCGCGGGAATTGTGGGCGCTCGTATGTGGAGGCAAATGAGATAATAACAAGCGTCAGTGAAATGAAACAACGTATATGTAATTCATATTTTATTCATATTTTGATATTAAATGACATACCCAAATAATTTCACAGCTTGCAGTTGTATATCAACTTGTGTGTGCGTGCACATACGTTTTATGAAAAGAATATGACGCAATAACCCATGTTTTTGAATGTGTAATGACGGTTTTCATAAAATAAATTGATAAACGATGATATATTATATATATAGTGGGATAGAATTGTGAAAGTGTGTATTTTAAACATTGTTGTCTCCAAAAAGCAGTTGACTATGTTATTTTTATTTCAACATTTGTCTTGATTCGATGCCGAAGTGAAACATAAACCCTTCAAAACCCTCTGCGTCATTTTCCCCCCTGCCTAGAAGTGAGCGCGTTTGTGAGCGGGAGATTGTCCTCTTGCCAACACGCCGCTCTTTGGTCACCGTTTAGTCGGCGAGTGGGAGATTGTCCTCTTGCCACCGCGCTCCTCTCTGGTCTCCGTTCAGTCCGTGAGTGGGAGATCGTCCTCTTGCCACTGCGCTCCTCTCTGGTCTCCGTTTAGTCGGTGAGTGGGAGATTGTCCTCTCGCCGCCGCGCTGCTCTTTGGTCTCCGTGAGGAGAGGCGCCGCAGCTGAGAGGACATCTCACAGCTTCTCCTGTGGACCGCCGCGGAGGACTTTACTCCTGTTGTCTACCACATCTTTTTTTAGATAAAAAACAACCTCTTTTTATAAAAACATATTCTACTGTCACGTGGGGTCTCGGGAAGCTCCGTGAGCAGTGTGTTCATTTTGGCTCCACGTTGATGAACTTTATTTAGGACGCGTCCCTCATGCAGGTAAGATTTTAATGTGATGCTTTACACTTTGAGTGATAACAAACTGACTCATAGGAAACGCAAGATTTCATTTAAATGATCAAACTAATGATTTTATAATCATCGAACATACTGTTTTATTATTTAATCCTGGTGTGAAACCTGCTGGTTTATTAGTTTATATCATCACTTTGCACCGGATATCCTCCCTTAAATAACCTGCATATTTATCTTTATTTAAAATATCTTATTTCTTATGCTAAATGGGCAGAATACTTTATTTCTTTTCTTAATTAAGGACATTGTTTGTTCAGTTGGCTCACATTCTATCCAGTTATTAATCATAATGACTGTCTAGGTTTTATAGTATGAAGCTGGTCTCATAATACTTCCTTGTGTTTGTTGAGGTTTGGTTCTTATTTACTGCGGGAGGAAAAGTTCAATATATTGGCGACTATTATTCCTTGTGAGTCCATTTCTGAAAGAACACGAGTGATTCCAGCCTCCAAATGTGAAGATCTTCTGTTTTATTTCCTCTTCTATGACAGTGAAGTATTTATATTAACGGGAGGAGTCTTCATTCCATTTCACCTTGATATCTACTCTTTTATTCAATAATCACTCCTCTTAATGTAGTGATGAAGTTTCATGTTGATTTCTACTCTTTGATCCTTTGATCCACCCGTAGTATCTTCATCACGTCGGCCATAATCTTCTCATCCAGAAGTCTCCTTCAGGAGCTCTTACATCCCATAACTCCACAGCTTCATTCATTCATTCATTCATTCCGGACTGTTCGTATTGATGAGTGTTACTTCCTCATGCAAGAATGTCAAAAATACTTGTTTTCATCAAATATAGAGGTTTCATACCACTGAATATCTTCACGGAACCAAGCTGAAATAAACCAGACCTTGATAAGGAAAACGCTCCAGTTATTAACCATAAAACGATGAAATACAGGAGAATTCAAGATGTTCATCCACAAAAAACCCACAGGATGACTTGGTGATGTGCGCTCAGCCTCCAGCCGGCATGTGCTGCACAACAGAAGAACACCAGAACTTAAGAGCATGATCCCAAAGAAAGAGGAAAACCTGCTACCTTCATGTTCCTGCTTTCAGGAACATGAAGTCCGAACCCTCGATGACCCGACGCGGCTCAGAAGTTCTCGTCATAAGCACACTGAGAAGGACGAGGACCTTCAGGAGACGCGTAGACGTGGAGGAGGAGTTATGAACCAGACCAGAGGTTCTCTCGCCCTTTAGACGGGGGGGGGTCCATTAAGGTTCTCAGCATCTTATTCATCCGGAAACAAAGGACCGAGGAGACGCACAAGAGAGACCGACATGAGAGACTTTTAAGTGTCTCTGCCTGGGGGACAAAACACCGTGAACGCTGGTCCTCTGGGCGAACGGGGGAGGAACACAGTATGTACAAAGCATACAGGGGGGGGGAGAGAGGGGGAGAGTAGTGAAATAAACCCGTTCATATTTGGATGTCGACTCGTTGAGTAAATGAAGACGTGTTGTTGTTGTTTGTTTGGCCTCAATCCAGAAAGTAATCAGGAAAGTGACTGACGGTGGAATCAATAGTCGTTAATCAGTCGCAGTTTCCTCCCCATGAGGTCAGATGTTCCCTCACATCAGCTCCAGCAACAAGTTGACTCATTAGTTCACAAGACACACTCATTGAGCCAAACGCAGGGTTCTGTTGCGTCCTCGTGGCGTTGTCATGGAGACAGCGTCTGCGTCGGGGGACACGGCCGAGGAGCTCTGTGAGAACTTTACCGGGAGTTTGTGTGTCTGCTGTTCTGGTCTGAGGGTTCCAGCAGAGTCCTCGATGATGGTAATCACTTGTCCAATAGGGTGACAGGTAATTAGTTGTCCATCTCCTCTGGACCAATTAGAGTCCTGCTCTGTGTCCCGGCGTCCACCACAGGGAGCAGCTGGGATGGAGCCGCGTCTCGGTGAAGACGTGAACCTCCCGCTGTCTTCAGCTGAGATTTATTCTTTCTGCGTAGTTCTCGCTGCCTTCGTCACGTTGCCCGCGATGAGACCCGCCCTCCTCTGAGACGAGAGGAACTGAAGCACAGCCAAGATCTCCTGGAGAGGCCCCCCCCCTCCCCCCTCGATGGGGCTGAGAGTGTCCTCTCAGACAGGAGGAGTCCTTCAGCTGCTTTCTCCTCCACGTGAGACGCTTCTGCGGCCTCCCACGAGCGCCAATTCATAAATACATAATCCCCCCGAGTCCATCACGGCCAGACCGGCTCCTCTTATGAAGTCTACATGATGGTGGTGTCCGGGAGGGGGGTGAGGGGGGGTCACCATGATACCAGAACCTCCTCACGAGTCCACCAGCGGCGTCGATGATGCCGATGAGGAACGCCGTTGTTTCCTCCGGTCGTCACGGCCACCTTCAGACGCTCTCACTGGTTCCTCGACCACGTCAGGAGAGACGAGCTGTCCATCTGCGCGGATCATTTCTGTAGTGGTTTCAGTTTGGAGGACGAGGACCTTTGTTGGTTTTCCTGCTCTTTCAAAGTCACAGGATCAATTTCGTGGACACGTCCCCCCGAGGCAAAATGTGTGATTTTGCGATATCAACAAATCAATTGAATTGAATTTGCGGCGGGAAAAAGACGTCGACGTGGGAGATGGTTTATTACTACGGTGTATATATATATATATATATATATATATATATATATATATATATATATATATATATTTGAGATAATAAATGTACATAGCGGCTGCTTGGATAATCTGCTGCTCAGCTGCTCTGAACCCTTTTAGTGACCCCCCTCCTCCCCCTTCAGACGACCTTCAGACGACCTTCAGACGACCTCTCTGGTGTGAACCCTGAAGAGGAAGTCGGGTTCTTTTGATTCGGCGTTAGCAGCGGCGCAGCAACAAGATGCTAATCATGAGCGACAATCCTGAGAGATCCTTTTTAATGCCGGTGGATCTGGAGACGTGTGATGAGGGATGTTAGCGTTTAAGGGGCTGCTGGGACGTACTTATGGATTAACCCCCACCCCCCCCCTCAAGTTAAGAAGAGATTTGGCTCCCTGCTCGTGTTCGGCGTTTATCAACTCTCAGATGTGGAACATCGTCACTGAATCGGTGCCGTCGGTGTTCGATCCATCAGTCCTATCGGAATCAAACCAGCAAATAAAAACCATCACACATCAGTATCCAAAGGAGCCTTAACTGATTTGTCCATTCACCCCCAAACCCCCACACTGAAAAGGTCTTCATAGCCGCGTTCACGTTGGACCAATGACAGAACAGTTTGCGTGACGTTAAATGTTGTCGTGGGAACGCAGTGAGTATTAACTCCCCGTTTCTATTTGTTGTGTTCTAATTATGAAGAAACGCCGGACGGCCACAGTGCCCTTTGACCCCCGTAGTGCCCGTCCGTCGCCTCCACCAGGGAACTCCAGAACAACGGTGGCCTGCAGGTGTTTATACGATCGGTAAAGGTGTGAAAGTTAGTGTCCACACCTCTGGGAGTCTTCTGGTGGGTTCAATGCAACTCGGATTTTAAATGCCTCTCAGTCAATACCAGTTGTTGTATCACATGCACGCATTCCAGTTTATTACATTACATTAAATACAATCATAACTGTACAGTGGTGATAGCTTCAGATGTCCACCTGGTAGCTGACGTTAGCTGTTAGCTGACGTTAGCTGACGTTAGCTGTTAGCTGACATTTTGAATTTTAAATTGTAATCTTAACAAGTCGTGTCTCTATTTTTGTGTAAAAAAACATATTTATTTTTAATATGAATTATTACTCCATTAGACCACCGTTACATCTTTCCTCTCGCCCCCCCAGGGGTAAATGGTTTCACCCTAATGCACCTTCTGGACCCCCGACTGTCCTCAGCGGTCTTCAGCTAAATTTAAACATGAGGAGAAAAAAAATGCAGGCTGCACTTTAATATTTTATACATAAAAGTGGTAGATTCTAAAATATGAAGCTGGAGGTCTTAAAACGAACCATCGATCACTAAACGGAATCCTTTGAAAAGTCGGTGTGTCCCACGTTGTACGACAAACCGAAGCCTCGCGAAGCCGACGCGCTGAGACTCGCGGACAGATGGAAGAAGCCACCTGAGAGGACGGTTTGAGACACGGCCATTGCTATGCAGCGCGTGCACCGCTCATTAAAGGGACCCTCCTCAACGTGGCTGAGCTAAAGCCTCACGCAGGACACACACACACACACACACACGGTTCTTTTTGTAACCCCACTGATCCCGCTTTTCATTTCTGTGCCGATCAATTATTAGCCAGTTTGTCTCAATGACAGGTGCTCCGTCCTCTGCGGCGCCGCGTGTGACTTTTTACAAATAGTGCTGATGTGTCTTCTTGCGCGTGGCGCCCTGCCCGGGGGGGGGGAATATCACCGGCAACCTGCAGCCCGCCGGCTTAACTCCTCTGGCGTCCTGTCGATCGGCCTGTTCAGAGGGTTCTGCTCCCCTACGGTTCGTGACTTAAAACCACAGAAGAAGAAGGCCTCTTCTCGCCCTTGCAGGCGGGTACTTGTGTCGCAAATCCTTGTCTTTTTCTGCGATTCTGTGTTAAAATCTGCTGCCGTGGGCGACGGCGGCGCGTCGGCCTGAAAGGTGCAAACGCACGCTCAGCGTTATCGGCTTCTGCGAGCGCTGATCAATACCGGGGCGAGTCCCTCCCCGGCTTACCGTCTCTACAGGAAGCACATGCATATGCAGAATCTAACTCTACGGGAGCTTTAAAGCCGCACTAATCAATACGTTTATATTAACAAAGGGTCAGATTACTTTGTGACAAACCTCCATAAAAAATAATCACCCAATTGATTAATTATCACTCTGCAGTTTCCCTCTGAGAGTTTCTGCATTGATTTTAATTCAGGAATATAAATCTGCCAATTGATCCTCCTTCCCAACACCCCTTGGTTACCGTTGCTAGGCCCGTCGATGTGTTTTCAACAATGTCGGTGAGAGATACTGATTCTGTAACAGAGGAGG